AGACAAACAAACAAACAGAATGAAACTTTTCCGGTCAGTGGAGTAATGGGCTTCGCTAATCGCTCAGCCAATTACTCCAGTGATGATCAAAAAGTTTCGTGTCTGTCTGTCTGTGTGTCTGTCTGTCTGTCTGTCTGTTTGTCTGTAAACACGATAACTCGAGAACGGGTTGAGCTAGGTACCTGAAATTTTTAGCGTAGCTTTTTAGCATAAAAAGCAAGAACGGTATTAATTTTGAGCCCTCTAGCTTGAAAATTGACCTGTCAACAAAATCAAAAACGAAAACCCCAAAGTATTACTTCTATTTTTTTTATTTTGTTACATCTTTTTAAGGTGTAACTCGTCAAAGTAGAGCCCGTAGGGCCAAAATTTTGTTTGTTTTGCTCTATCTCTAACCGTTTAGTCGCCAGAGGGCGATTTTTACACGAAAATGACCCCAAACCATTTTAATGTTGTTTCTCAGATATTTGATGGTCTCTGGTGGGGCAACTCGTCAAAATAAAATTCTGGGGGTAAAATTTGTGTCTTTTGGTGCCGAAGGCCTATCTACGACTCTGCCTTTTTCCCGACTCGGGTGTGAGCGCCGCAGGCCTAGGTAGATGTATGCCATGCGCGTCACAGCGTAACAGTGTTTCGTGAGATATCGCGAAGCCTGTTACGCGAGACGTGGTCTAGCGTACATCTACCTAGTATATATGAACTAGCTATATGTACGCCAGACCACGTCTCGCGTAACAGGCTTCGCGATATCTCACGAAACACTGTTGCGCTGCGACGCGCCTGGCGCACATATAGCTAGGCCTGCGGCGCTGACACCCGAGACGAGTTAACAGAAGTGTATCAACAATTTGTCGATGTTAAGTATTATTTTTTTACGATTTAATTGTAGACTATTTGGTCATTTTCACCTCAATTTTGTCAAGAAATGGAACCTAGCACTCAAACGGTACAAGATAGAGCAAAACGGACGAAATGTTCGCCCGTAGGGTTCTACTTTCACGAGCTACTCAATAGGAGAATTTATAACCTGTGGTTTTTGATTTTTTTTAAAGTCAATTTTTGAGCTAGAAGGCTCATCTTCGAACTCGATCTGTCTTTTTATGATACAAAACGACCCTGAAATTCCCAGATTGATATCTCAATTCTTTCTCGAGTTATCGTGCGTACAGACGGACAAACAAACAAACAAACAGAATGAAACTTTTCCGGTCAGTGGGGTAATGGGCTTCGCTAATCGCTCAGCCAATGAAGCATATATATTTTTTGTTGTCAGGAGTATGCCTAGCTCTAGCCACTGGTTCAAAATTTTCTTCTAACCAGAAGAGTTGGCTTATTTCATGGCGGCACCTCATTAACCAAATGTGCTCGCTTCCAGAGCGCCTCGCGCCACGACGGCCGCAGTCAAACGGCAGATTGGTGGGGACTGCTGAAGCTGCTCGAGCTGCACGAAAAACTGGAGGAGATGCGTTATGCCTGGTCGTGGGGACTGTCTGTCTCTCAGCCCTGTGCGGGCTCTCTCTCTCTGTATATATTTATTCATTGGCTGAGCGATTAGCGAAGCCTATTACTCCAGTGATCAAAAAGTTTCGCGTCTGTCTGTCCGTCTGTCCGTCTGTCCGTCTGTCCGTCTGTCTGTCTGTGCGCACGATAACTCGAGAACGAATTGAGCTATCGACCTGGGATTTTC